ATGCATTTTCTTTATAAGATTCCAGATGTTCGTTGGATCCTGCCACGAATCACTCTTTCAGAAGGAGCATGCACGAGCTTTCAAATGCTGCCAGTGAATGAGGATACAGCTCTTCAAGTGTACCAGCCTGCTCTGAAAGTAATGCCAATGGTTCCTCTGAGCTTTGTCGCTTTTGGATTTTCCATCTTCAGCACACTTGTTGATAACCTGGAAGCGAAAAATAGGCACCTCACTATTGCCCTTGAAAAAGCAAAACACTCTATGATTGGAGCGGCAAAAGAGAAAAACTCATGAAAACTGAAATGGCACAAGAAAAAAATCATTTCCGTGGCCTCCTTAAGCATAAAGCAGAAAATTTCGAAGCTCTTTTCACAAGCATTAAGGAAAATGTTGACACCTTTCAGAAGAATAGCTCTCTAATTGAGGAAATTTCAATTAAAGAAAAAATGTTGTGTTTGAAGAGCTTCTATCAAAGAAGGACAATCTTTCTAAAGATTCTGAAGAAAGTTTGGAAAGCAACATTTGCATTCAGAGCCGGCTTTCAACATGCCTAAAAAATGAGAATTCGACTGTTTTCAGCCACTTGGTCAAAAGAGTAAACGACTTTGCTACCCTTATAACTGAATTTAAATGCAATTTTTAAAGAATTATTTTCATATATATCCAAGCAGCCCTATTATCATCAATCAATAGCCTATATTCCAATATCTAATTATTCATAATGACAGCAATACTAATTCAATATACCAATAGCCCAATAATTTCTCAACTTTCCCTACAGCAGTTTCCAACAGTTTGACTAACAAATCAGAAAATCAATGGACAGCTAGAAACATTAATTGATAATATAAACAGATTTCATCATAATATAAAAATATTTAAAGACAATGACCTTCCATAAATTCAATATATTTTATAATATCTGATGAATATTGAAAAAACTCCTAATTATCATCTTCAAAGAATGATCAGCAGAATACAATATATTCAACAGTTTACCTTCAATTATAATTTATTTCCTTTTCTCTCCCATCAATAATTTCTGGAATAATTTTTAGGATGTGATCCCATTACACGTTTTTCTGCACAATTAATTTCCAATATCTAGTTTGAATATAAATCCAGAACCCCCTGAATTCTTTCAAACAAATAGAAAAAAAAAATTAAAAACAATATAAATGCAATAATTCACGTTCAAAATATAACAGCAATAGTACAAGAATCCAAACACCTAATCATTTAATCCTAAACTGTCAGAAATTAGGAAACCAAGAAAAATGTGCAAATGTATATTATGCAAATCTATCAGAATAATTCTTCAAAAACAATAGTTACCTCAAATACTTCATAATAGTCTAAAGCATCTTGATAAAAAAAAACAGAGGGTCTTCCTATAACTAACATCCATGATCATCACTGTTTTACTTTATCTATAGCCCAACAAACAGTTGAAGTCGATAATCAATCACTACTTATAATAAACTTAATAAATTTATAAACCAGCCTCGCATTCCGTAAATTAATAACCTGAAACCTGTATAGTATAAGTTGCTGGTTGGAAGGTATGCAACTCATTTATCAGCTGTGATGCGAAAGTTTGGGACCTTGAGTCTCTTCTGCTGAACTGGTGTGATGGCTTAGGGATATTCACACTCAATATGTGTTAGGGGGTAGGGGGTGGGGGTAGGTTACAGATACCCTTTAATATTAAGATAGATTTATTCTAAGGGGTTAAGTATTAGGAAAACATTAGTTAATTATTTGGGGAGGGAGGGTTAAATGGGTAATTATAGTTAGATAAAGAAATATAACTAGAACTTGGAAAATATTTTTTAAAGGGATATATGATTCAAAATAAATTAAGCTAAGAAAATCATTTAAGGCATATAAGAAATATTTTGATAAACATAAAGTATGAATTTTGTAGAAGGGACATAGATTTGTTTTTTGTATAGCGGGAGAGTTTTAATAATTAGGCGTTTTAAGGGTTTTTAGGGATTTATTATTGATAATAAAAGCTTACAAGGAGATATTACATATTTTATGAATAGATTTTTTTATTTTGGGAGGGGGGGGGTAGGTAAAATGAAACTATTAAGATTGGGTTAGGTTTTATTAAGATATTCAGGTTATTCAAAGTCTCAATATATTTATAAACAATTAATTATATTAGGGGTTATTAGGTTATAATAAACATTATATTATATATTAGATTATCTATTTGGGAGGGGTTAGATTATAAGTATATATATGAGAGATTAATAGTTATAGTAGGAAAGTGTTTAAAATAGATATAGGGGTTAGAGAGAGAGAGAGAGAGAGAGTTTAGGGTTTATTTATAGTTTGAATATTCTCATATATGCATAGTATCCTGCATATAGTATAGATAGAGGGGAATTTTTATATGTAAAGCGAAATAATCACTAAAATATGCTGGTCCCTCCCTTTTAAATATAGAACTTTATTCACTAACATATTGTACCTAACGTTTCAATTAGTAAAATATATATATATATAAAATTAATAGCACCTAAATATAATAATTTATAACAGCATTCAATCTATTCTCATATTTACCGCATGACTCCTCCTACCTTCTTTTTACCCCAGCTCTGATCGGCAGGCTACCTGGGGTATGTGTCCACTCCACTGTCCTCCCTCCTCCTGGAATTGGGAGCCCATAGGGAGAGGGAGAGTGGGGTGGAGCATGTCCTGGGTATCCTGCTGGTGGAGTTGGTGGAACTGAGGGGGTGGAGGAGTCATATAAAGAAAAGTATATTTTTTTAATTGAAAAAAAAATTAACATATATCGAAAGATAAATAATGTCAATTCCATGTTAAGACAATACTAGGGAGGGACCAGATGGGTCATAACTACCATAGATTACAGTAAAAACAAACAATATCATTAATATTAATATGATTAAATAATGGGTAAGTATTAATATGTTAGTTTATAATTTCTAAGTTAGGGGGGGGGGGTAAATAGGAATATTTCGCATTTAATTTTTTATATTCATAGGAAATACACAATATTAACTAGCTATTTATATGTATACTTAGTTTATTCAGGGTTAAACAGTTATAGGTAGGGTTAGGTTGTCCCAAGCCATCACCCAGTTCAGAAAGAGAGACCTGCACATCCAAACAGCATGATAAAATACGATAAAATTTGCATGCACCTATCGACCTATATAACCTGGCGACCTATTCAACATCCACATTTTTCTTGGTTTCTTCACCATTTTGTGACAGTATAATCATTAGAATAACTTTATTTTCCAGATTCCATCATCCCCTATACCATATTAAAATGGGTCACATCCTAATCATAAAAATAACCATCAATATCCCAGACAATATCAATATAGTTCAATTTATAATTTCTTTCATAAAACAACTAGCTGTCCGTTGATTTTCTGAATAACATCATAACCAACAATAGCAATAGAAATTAATCATATCCCTCATATTCTCATCAGTAATTATCCATCATCAAATCAACCTCAACAATAGCTCATCTGCATCTATATTACAATAAGCCTACTCCCGCAATAATCTCAAACGTCATCTTCCCTCCTCAGAATAATACTCCATATCCCTAAATATCAAGAGACCAATAGCCAACTAAAGCTGCGAATTGCAAATAAATTTCATATTTATTCTCGGAAATAAAAGGAAAAGTGAAATCTTGTGTATTGTCATTTCTTTAATATTCATGCACTGTTAACCAAAACATATTTATTTTGTTCTTATTTCTGGTGTACTTGAATTATTAAAAGTTAAATGGTGTTAAAGAACACAAACAAGAAAGAATATATAAATGATATTTAATTATACATTTATAATTCCTCCCATTATTTCTTTATTTCAGCAAGGACAGTCAAAGGTTTCATTTTATTTGAAAACAAAACAATAATATTTATAAATTCTAATTTAGAGGGGTGATTAAGAAATTTTCACACATAATTTCATAAGAAACACAAAATTAATTAGCTATTTATATGTATAATAAAGCCCATAAAGCTTCCAGGGTTAAGTTTCTTGTTCAAATTTTTATTATCAAGCTTTCGGACTTGTCAGTCCTTCAACAGGATTATCACGATAAAAAATTGATGTTATATACTATTTTTATATACAAATTATTATTTATGTGACAATATCGTTGCGAAAATTCTTGTTGTTCGATGAGAATGGTGAGATTTGGTTGAAACGCAGTCGTTTGAGTGGAAGTTGAAGCACACAGTTAGGAATAATCAGGACACGTGATGGGGTTTGAAAATAAAAGGCAACTGGGTTGGAGGAAAGAAAGCTTGAGAAGAGCGGAGCGATTTTGATTGTTAATTATCTGATCACATGGTGGTGATTGTACTTAGCTACGGGATGAGCAGAGGGAGAGAGGTCCAGAGCCGATGTCACCTCCTTGGGAGCCAAAACCCAACTGACAATTCTTGCTTTTCGATTTAACACCACGAGTTGTCTTCCTTCCCATTGGTCGAAGGATGGAACGTGCCCGTTTTTCTATTGGTTGACCTACTTAGTGGTTGCTTCCTAATTGGACCGGCGGCTTTCTTTGGTGTTAGTTACGCCCGGCCTGGTCAGGAAGTATCGGGTGTTAGTTCGACTCTATTTTACTTCCGCGGTATCAAATACGTCCGGTCCTGTCCGGAAATATTGGGTGTCTCTCGACTAATATAACTTCTGCGGATACCAGATACGTCCGGGCTTGCCAGGAAGTATTGACTGTACAAGTTATTTATACTGGTGCCCGCTTTTAGCCTGCTTCCTATGTCTTGTTGCTACTTCCTTTCCTCCAGTTACCTTATTCTTTATTAAATCTTTGAAAATCATATATTGTACATGCATAGTGGGTCGGGGGGCATACAATTATATACAAATTATGACATTTACATATTTAAATATTAATGATATTGAAAGGGTTAGAAAATATTAATATATACAGTTATCAGCGTCATGCGTTCTTAATTCTGTCACCGTTTGCTTTTGGTTCAGTGGTAGAATGCTCTCCGGGTTCGATTCCCGGCCGATGCATTTTTTTTTTTTTTACAATTTTTAAAACTCATTTATATATTATAGTGGCGGGCGCCCCGGGTTCGATTCCCGGCCAATGCATTTTTTTTTACAATTTTCAAAACTCATTAATATAAACATTAATATATACAGTTATCAGCGCCATGCGCTCTTAATTCTGTCACCGTTGGCTTTTGGTTCAGTGGTAGAATGCTCGCCTGCCACGCGGGCTCCCCGGGTTCGATTCCCGGCCGATGCATTTTTTTTTTTTTTTTACAATTTTTAAAACTCATTTATATATTATAATGGCGGGCGCCCCGGGTTCGATTCCCGGCAGATGCATTTTTTTTTTTTTAATTTTTAAAACTCATTTATATAAACTTTAATATATAGAGTTATCAGCGTCATGCGTTCTTAATTCTGTCACCGTTTGCTTTTGGTTCAGTGGTAGAATGCTCGCCTGCCACGCGGGCGCCCCGGGTTCGATTCCCGGCCGATGCATTTTTTTTTTACAATTTTTAAAACTCATTTATATATTATACAAGAATGACATCCACGGCGCCAATTTATAATTGTAACGAATAGTATTTGAATAAAAGCATTTAATCGGGTAAACCCCGGGCGTTGCCCGGGTCATTCGGCTAGTATATTACATTCAGAGAAGAACTTTTATTTAAAAACAATAATATGTTTATTGGTTTTATTTCTTATGTGTAGATAAGGTTTTACATATATTCCTTACAAACCTTTAGAAAAATATATAATTTTGAAATCTACCAAATTTTAACCTTTTTATTGTGTGTTATTGTAATGATATAAAAAATATTTTAATATCAATTCATAAACGAAAAAAAGGCTGAACTGACCAACTAATGGAAATAAGTTCGCCAAGCGACATTTTATGGTAAAAATAATTTTATTTTGTTGCATATGTATTAGTAATTGTATTTTCTATTATATTTGATTACCATTTTAAATTTCTATTCATCATTAAATACGATTTAAATTTGAAAGTCTTCAAATACATCGGAAAAGGTGCAAAATAAATGATATTGTTGCGGAGATAAATAAAGAAAGGGCAAATTTGGAAATAATTAATTTATATTATTAAGGGTATTTGCCTTTTAGTTCTTCAATAACATTATATACAAGAGGTATATATAGAGAGAGAGAGTCAGATAATATGACAACTTATCCCAAGGTAAAGATAATAATCATGAGAGTGTTCAGCCACCAAGGCGTCCCGTTTTCCTTATTTGCCGATAAGATTCCGAGAAATATTAAAAATGATCACACCAAATTTACACAATCTAAGTTAAAATTTGCATACACATTCTCGATCTTAGGCGTTGTCTAATTAAAATTTTGGACCATTATCTATCCAAACTTCAAAAGTTTGTTTGAACAAGATAGGAATCATTCTTCTGATGTTTCATTAATAGTGTGCCGAAGAAATAATTCATATTTTATTATTTATTTGATTATTCAATGAAAATACTCAACAGATAATATATTACTCTATATTTGTAAAAACATCATATATGTTGCCTAGCTTACATGCTAAATATTCTCTAGCTGTAGATAGTGTTGTTGATAATTGTCGACTATTCGTACTGACGTCATCAATAAATATTTTGACATCTCAAGATATTCCAAGACTTGATTTCTATTCAACAATATTTCCATTAATCTCTATCATATAGATTCATTGCATGTAAAATTTGAATAATTTTTATAATGTCAAGTTTAAGTTCTTTATTTTTGAGGGGATAATGTATAGAAACTTTCTTTTATTAAAATATTTCTCCATATATTGAATAGAGCATATACATAACTATGTAAAACTATTGTCTCCAAGGTTCAAAGTTACCATGACACTCTCATTTCAATCTTCAGCCCAATAAGTCCTGTTTATCCATAGCTCCTTAAAAAAAGATGGGTATAATTACATCTAAGTCAAAATTTGCAATTCGCCGTAAAAGAAAGAACCGTATAAAACAATTGATCAAACAGTCATTATCTTGCTGTATATCTTCAAACCAAAAAGGTTCACAAAAGGGTGAGCTGATTTATCAATGAAAATGGTCAATTCTATCTTTCCAAAATTTTATTTCTGATGCAAATATTTTTGCACTTTGATTCGAAAATTTCTACTAAATATTTTTTATTTTAGAAATTCAATTCTCAAATATATGCTGGAAATTGCATACCAGCATAATAATATTGTAAAAATGATTGAATATAATTTATTATTATATTACAAGATATATGGATCTTAGAACTATTTGAATATTAATGAAAAAATGTAGATTTTCAACAAATTCTCTCGAATATATAATTTTCTAAATTGTAATTTCTATTTTCTCCAAAAAGTTCTGTCTAATATGAATATATATATTCTTATAGATTGATATATAATATGAATATGAATAATATAATATGAATAATAAAACCAGTTCAGGAATATTTGATAATTCTAAGGTAACAGAAAAAGTTTTATAATGACAAGAAATTATTTTCAACCTATATCAAACTTTAAAAATATTAGACCGCATGATATCTTGATATTTTAAGAAATTATGTTAATGAATGTAAGGAGAGAAATATTTAGACTTTTATTTTTTGAAAAATATCAGTGAATATTATTTATTCAGAATTTTCTATCAAATTTCTGCAAATAACAAGCAAAAATATCAAGATGTATTCCATTTCAAATTTCATTTTATAAACTGAAATAAGAAATTAACAAAGAAAATTGATCAATTTGATATATCAATATTGTTAAGTATAAATTATTAATAAAAAACTTCAGAGAATGACAAAACGTAATTTATTCGATGTAATAAAAATTAAAATATAAAAATATCAGAAAAAACAAGGAGAAATTTGAAAAGTATCAAAATATAAATATAAAAAATTGATAATATGTAAATAAAATAATATTTTCTTATACATAGCTCCATCGCTTTGGGAACTGTATCTCACAGATTGCACACCTATCCCCACTTGGTGCATATATATTTTTAAATTTTAATATGTAATTGTTCTCACAGAGTATGTGTAAATTCACAAGTAAATAGGCGCTAACCATTAGAAACAAAGTTTTTCTCTTTGTTTACTATAAGTTTATTTTTTTATTTCGTTCTCTCTCTTGTAAATCAATAAAGATAATGTTTGATTAATCTTTTTGGAATCAGTATTTTAAAAAGGTCTAAGCAAAGTCAACATCACTGACATGGATATGAGGTGCTCCTGTCAAGGATTTTCGCAGAATCATTGGATGTGTATCCCTACTGATTTAGATTACATTAATCAAAAACTTAAGTATTGGTGCACATTTCTTTGTAAAAAAGGTCTAAGGAATGCGTCAATTTATTATTCAAAGAATCCTTTATCCTTTCTTATTTATTATTCTACATGTGGCGGACCTAATAGGATATTACAATTTATTACTCTCAGCTTTTAACTACCGGACTTTGGATTTATATTTTGGGAAAAATGATATATTTGTAGAGGAATAGAAAGATCCTCTATTACATAAAAGTATAATTAATTAAAAAGACATATATTGGATCAAAATATCATTTATTTTACTAATATTTCAGTTGGCTGAACGCCAACCTTTATAACACCGTTATAACACCTTGATAAAGGTTGGCGTTCAACCAACTGAAATATTAGTAAAATAAATGATATTTGATCCAATATATGCCTTTTTAATTAAATATTTATTTATGGATTACTCTATTTTCAAAACATAAAGGTATAAAACAATAATAGAAGAACAAAAGATCATATGTACATCAGCAGCTCACGCCTTTCAGCAGCCTGCCCTATCCAATAACCGCTAGAAGTCTAACAAAACAGCGATATATATATATAGGCAGATATGTAAATTATCTTAATCAACATTATAATGATATGCAAATTACAAGAGTATTGCATCGTAGAAATATCTGGAATTGTCACTTTAGTCTACATCTACTCATGATGACTGACAGCATTGCTATTATGGTAGAATAAAAAATAAAATCACATTGCAAAATTAATCTACTCAAAAAGTCGTATCTGAATAATAATTAATTTGTTTTAAACGAAAAAGTCAAATATATTGGTATTTAGAAATAGGGGAAGGCCCCCCAGGAGTGACAACTGGTACTGGGGTCAAATCTACTGATTGTATTTTCCATAATAACATACTTAGGAGATCCATTTACTATCACAAATAACAATAAACAGGAGAAATATACCACAAAGTGAAAGCAAATACTGTAGCGTAAGAGATTATTATATTAATAAAATACAAAATATCAACTCCATAAGCCTATCACGCAAGTTATTTGACGCAGTAATTCAATCAATATTTTTATATGCAGCACCGATTTGGACTTTTAATAACAACAAAATTATTGACCGAATACACAAAATGTAAAATTTCTCTTAAATTACCGAGAATACACTCCAGATCATAAGATTAGAAACTGTCAGAGTATCCCTCATATTAAACACTACCAGATTAAAATTGAAATACTTTCTCAGATTGCCGAGAATCAAAATTAACAGATTGCCTAAGCTATGTTGTAACAGATTACGTGGAATATCAATAGCGACAGAAAACACCATAGGGGACTCTATAGAAATATTCTCGAACTTCTTTACCAATCTGGATTCCCATGGTTAAATAATAGTAAAAATATTATATTATTAAAGAACAAGTCCCTAAATTACTGAGAACAAAAACAGTGTTGTAAACTGAATGCTACGACTACAGCTAGGGCGACACTGGCCTTATCATCACCACCACAGTTTGTTCACTTCTTCTCACTTATCTATATACTGTTAATGTGTTCGCTACTATAACTTTATTTTACTAAATGGATAATAAAGGTTATTATCATATAATCATCAACGTCCTCATGCCTTCATACAAGCTGTAAGTACCTAAATCTTACAACAAACAGAACAGATTATACAGCAAGACTTAGCGAGTATGGAATACTCGAGGTCTTACTCTGGTAATAAAACTTCTACAATAGTTTTATTCCTGGACAATCAAACATAAAAGGATACATTACCTAAGTCCGAATCACATCAATATTCTT